AAAGAAATCATCCCTCAATTCAGAAAACTTCTCCATAATCTCTAAACAGTCTTGCTCCTGTGGGCCTGAATTAACCTGTAATAGGTTGTCTATTGGGTCAGACAATGAGCCTGCTTTTGTGGATGAAGTGGCTAAGAGTTAATGAGTTAATGGCTAAGAGGTTAAAAGTAACTTAAAAGCTAAACCTGGCCTACCACCCCCAGTGTTTGGGAAAAATAAAAAGTATAAACAGGATTCTAAAAATTACAATAAAAAATATGCCAAGAGACCCACCTACTATGGGATCAATAACTGCCCATAGCCTTGCTCAGGATTAGATCAAGCCCCACCAAACACACAGGTCTTCCCCTTTTGAAATTTTATTTTGGCATCCACTCCCTTTAGTCAAGGGCTGTGAGGGGACCTTAAAAATTGGTGACCTCACCCTGAGACAACAAATAACGGCCATTGATTTGACTCTCTCAAAAATCAATGACTGGGTAAGAGAGAGACTCCCTGTAAGCCTGACAACTCCCATGCACCCTTATAAACCAGGGGATGCTGTTTGAGTAAAGAAATGAAATGTTCAACCATAAAGTCCCACTGGCAAAAACCTTTTATTGTTTTGTCACCTCCACAGCAGTTAAGGTAGCAGAGATTATTCCCTGGATCCACCAAAGCCGAGTGAAGCCAGCTTCCCTCAGTTGGGAGTGCATCCCTGACCCATTCTCCCCATACCAGATCACCTTCAGAACGCTAGAGACCTTCCCCAACAGGACCCTGCTTTCCTGGAGACAACACAAAATCATGGACAAAGAGACATCAGCCCTTTTCTAGTCACTCTGGAAGCTGACTAGTCTATGAATGGCAGAAGCTTGAGGAGTTGCCCATCTCACTTTTGAAGATGAGTCTGTCCATGTATTCTTGCTAATCTTGGTCAGCTCTCTACCTGGGGACACCAGGCTTTGGACTGTGACTCATGTATACTCCCTACATAAATGGGGAATGCTGTTACCCTAACTCTGGTTTCCATACTTATTATTCTCGTGCAGGCACCATTGTTGGGTCATGCACCACAGCCATACCACCTACTCAGTGTGCTTTCGTGATAGTCAGTGTATCTGTTTTAACCCCATTTATTGCCCTTGGGAGCAATGGCTAGAGGTCCAAAGTTTTCAGCTCATTAATCACACCTGGGTTAATGACCCCAACAAACCTGAGGCTATACTATGATGTGTGTCCCGAAATAGCTGAAAACACCAGGCTTGGGCACCTGTGGGGGGCTAGCCTGGGAAAGGACCTAAGGTTAAATGACAAGTATATATGCCCAAAAGATAACAGTGGGACATGCAGTTGTGTGTACTATAAACAACTCTACTGCCCTTGTTGGGTTATGAAAGATGGGCAACTTAGCTTAAAAGGGAGGTCCATACCTCACATACAATTGCCACTCTTTTACAAAAAGGAAGCAACCCTGACTGCACTCTTGCTGCCTGTAGCCCTGTAAATTTCACTATTTTCAACCTCAATTATACAGACTGGGAAGCTGGGGAAAAGTCTGACATTTAATCTATAAAAAGGGAACAGACCCCAGTACTTTGCTGCATTTTCAACTATTCACAATCACTCGTGAGAGCTCCTCATTCCAGGCCTTTCACTCATTTTATGAGGAGATACAAAGAGTTTCCCATCTCAGTTGCAACCAAAAACCTGTTGCTCTCACTAGCTGAGTCCACAGCACAAAGTCTGAATATAATTTCATGTGATGTTTGTGGAGGAAACAAATGACAAGAGCCCTTTAATGAAACCACTCCCCAGCCATGGAGAGAGCATTTGGCTCCTAAAAACCTCTATTATTATGAATTACTGTATCTACCATCCAAAAGACCAATTCTCCACTTGATCTGCTTGGGACAAAGATTTTACAATAAGGCTACTCAGGAGACTCAGTGGGGAGGAGGGGGCTCCCAATCACACGGAGCCCCAACCTCAGCCTCTGGCTACAATAGCCTGGCATAATCTCAGTGTGAGTAACTGCTGATTACAGATTAATGATGAGAAAAAGGTAATTAAAGAGATTACCAACAAGATAAAAAAGCTTGTCCATGTCCCTGTGCAGACCTGAAAGGGACAAAGTCCCAATGACCTATGCGGGGCTGGTTCTCAACCCTAGGTGGGTTCAAGACCGTGATAGGGACCATGTTCCTTGTCTTAAGAGCATCCTGATATTACCCTGTCTGATCCCCTGGTACTGGGGTCTTTATCAAGATGATGCTCTTTGACCCAGAAGTGGGTCTGAGCATCAAAGGGGGCATAATGGCAGGGGGGAGAAGAGAGATTAAAGAGTGCTAAGGTGAAACAAAGAAAACTGGAGTTGAAGGCTGTTACCTGAGACCAGAAGAGGTCACCTCGCCACAGAGGTTAAAACACCCAATGAAATGACATGTGATTATGTATGGGACAAGCTGCACCCCATTTCTGTAACCTGCTCTAAATGGTAAATAAGGAAAGCCCCATTTGTTCTCAGGACTCAGCCCTTGGACTCGAGTCCACTGAGTTGCTGCCAGCTTGATTAATAAACTTGCTTCCCGAAAACTTTGGAGTCCTCTAGCCTCAGCCTGAACCCTCCTGTAACATGGCCACTGTGGAAATCACTGTGGAGGTTCCTCACAAACCAAACACAGAATTACCATATGGTCCTTTTTATGCTCCTGGGCACACATCCACGGAACAGAAGTCATTTCCATCTGATCCATGTTATCCTTTTCTCATCTTTACCAGAGACATGGCGAGAGAAACCATCCTTGCCTTGCTCCAGATCTTAGTGGGAAAGCTTTCCCTTCCCCCATCAGTTATTATTTTCACCATGGTTTGTCACAAATGGCCTTTGCTATGGTAAAGAAATTTGCTTCTATACCCAAACTTCTTTTTATACACTTTTTGACCTGAGCTTTTTCTCAAGATTTTATCACTACCCCTGTGTCATTCTGATGACATTAGCAGAGTGTCTTTTCCACCCTTCACTTTCAGGCTGTGTAAAAGGTGAAGTGAGTCTTGTGTAGGCAGCATGTAGTGGAACTTTAAAAAAATGCATTCAGCCAGTCTGTGTCTCTTGAGGGAACGTTTTAATCCATTTACATTCAAAGTAGCTGGTGCTAGGTACAGACTTAAAAGTATTGGACAGGTGTGGTGGTGACTGCCTGCAATCCCAGCTATGTGGTAGGTGGATGATGGTGGCTCAGGCACGAGCGTGAGACCTTACCAAAAAAGAACTAAAATCAAAGGGTCTAGGGGCGTGCCTAAATGGTAGCACACTTGCCTAGTAAGTGCGGGACCATGAGTTTGATCTCCAATACCATAAAAGAGATTTGTCAGTGTAAATCCATTTATTTGTGTGGGAACTCCTACCTAGGCTCCACCACGGTCCACTGTTAGTCTGTTGTGTCAACTCCCAGATGCCCCTAGTGAGAAGCACGGCCATCAGGCAGCAGCTAGAAGTGATGGCAAACCCCTGCCCAAGAGAAACTGGGGGCTGTGTTTTACCCCATTTTCTGCACTGCTGGTAGGTGTGACCCCTGGAAGTGCTAGATACCTTATTTTGTGTTCTGCTACTTTACTGGATTAACAAATTTTTGAGTGGAATCTTTCAAGGCTTAACATGTAGGATCATGTCATCTGTAAATAAAGAGAAGTTTACTTCTTCCTTTTCATTTTATGCCTTTCATTTCTTTTTCTTGTCTGATTGCTCTTGCTACTATCTCTTTGTTATATGATCTAGGGAGACTAGCTCTGCACCCCCAGACCTAATGAGGCTTAGGATGCAGACCCTCAGGTGGGAACTGTGAAATTGGAACATAATGCATGCACAAGTTGCTTCCAGGAGTTATCAATGCACCTGCTTTTCTTCCAACTCCCCCCACAACTGGGGTATAAACTCAGCAAGTCACAGCTGCTAGGTTAGCATTCCACTACTTGAGTCACACCAGCAGACCTTTTTGATTTAGTTTATTTTTTCAGACAAGGACTCCCAATTTAGCCCCAATCATACCTTGGGTAAAGATCCTTTACCTCTGCCTCCATCATAGCTGGGATTACAGGCAAAAGCCTTCACTCCTGGCCCTTTGGCCAGTTTTGATTTCCTAGCAAGCCTGGAGAAGAGGACTAGGAAGTGCCTAAAAACTGCCTAGGCCCTCAGAGGTCTGTACTCTCCATGCCAGGTAGCTCCATAAAGCTCATTTAATTAGGAACTTGGTTGTAAACAGCAGTGTTGGAAGAGTGTGCTGGAAAACCACTCCTGTGAGAAACTCAAAGCTTTGGATTTCAAAGCATGCGTTGTCCTGATCCTGGGAGAGGAGCTCCTCCCAGAAGTGCTTAAGCACCCCTATAAAACTGTCACTTTCTTCAGTGGGCTAGAGACTCTCGTGAATGGCCTGTCCCTTCCACTCCTGAGACAGGAAAATGAAGAGGTACCTCAGGAACCTTAGAGGTTGGGCTAAGGCCCCAGTGCTCCTCCTCAGGGAAGAGCTGAGTTCTGGGATAGTTCCTGACCCTAAGGCAGGGCCCAGGACGTGATTGTGCCTCAGTTTCCCCCATGTTATGTAGAGGTGTTTCTTTAACTGCCCAGACACAGGAGCCCCTCAATGTGTTTCTCAACTGCTTCTGGGGCTAACCCATTCCTGCGCAGATTCAGAGGTGCATGGCTGAGGAGGGGCAGGGCGTCCTAGACGCTGCATTACTGCTGTCATTAGACTGATGATGTCATTCAGTCTACTAGGATTTGATATTGATATTTGGGTGTGGGGGAACTCAAGCTAAGCACAGAAAACACAGCAACGAGGAAGGCAGGTTGATTTATTTCATCTTACAGAAAAACATAAATCTGATATCTGATCTGAGTAGGCTGAAATCAACCCATGATGGTGTTCATCAATGTCCCTCCATCGGACAGGGTTTGAGTCACAGACGTCTTCCCGGGGCTGTGGGCGTCAGAGGACACCCTGAAGACCACTCCAGCCTCCCCTTCAGTGCAGGCATCCTGGCAACAGGTACCTGTCTAGGCTGTCGGGATCATCATCCCCAGGCAAAGCGTACAGCTCCACCAGTTGGTCCATGTTGTAGGGCATGGAAGCCCAAGGAGGCACCACATCTTCCAGGTGGATCTCATGGATGTCACAGGGCTCCAAAGCACACTGTGAGCTCAATGCTGGGTCACCAGTCACTCCTGGTCCCTTGTCTCCAGAACTCCCCTGTGGCTCCTGCTTAGCGTCGTCTAAGCCTCTGGAACTGACTGAAAAGGTGTCAGGCGCATTCCCTCCTGGTTTTGGGTTTGGCTCTTTCTCTTGCTGCTGTTTTTTCCACCTCACAAGATTGTTCTTAAACCAGGTCTGAGAGGGAAGAGACGGCAGGTTAATAAAGAGGGGCGATGCAAGGAGAACCCCCAGGACTCCCAGGAAACACCTTTAACTTTTTTTGTTGTTGTTGTGAAAAAGCTAATCCCCAATCTCTTTCTATTTATGTGAACAAGGGAAGTTCTTTTCATCTCTGTTGTCCTGGATCCCAGAGGATAAAGTGGGTGGGAGATTGCATTTACAAAGGACAGGGCACCCAAAACCTGATCTTGAGGTACTCAGTACAGGGGTTCTGTGTTAGTGCTGGCTCTGGGTTTTCAGAGGCAGCATTCTGAGTACAGGGTGGAGTGGAGGCTGGGAAGCCCTCTGTCCTGAGTATGCCCTGGAGGGACCCTGAGATCTGCACTGGGCAGACTGAACAAAACACATGATAATGTTCGTCATTGTGACAATGTGGCTTGTCACCCCGAAGGATAGTGTGCTGGACTCTTGGTCCCCAATGTAAAGGTCATGAAAGGTGATGAGACCTTTAAGAGGTAAGGTTACTGGTAGGTGATGAGGTCACCATGCTTCCTCTGTGAGGGGGATCAATGACCTCCAGTAAGTGGGTTAGCTCTTGAGCGTCTGTATTGCTCATCAGAGCAGTGGTGTTAAAAAGTGAGGACATCCCACGTGCTGCTCACGGCTGTCTCACATGCCCTCAGCACATGAGGAGGCAGTGTGAGACCCTGCCCAGATGTGGCTCCCCAAACTTGGGACTCTTCAACCTCCAAAGCTGTAAGCCAAAGTAATCAGTTTTTCCTTGAAAGTACCCAGTCTCAGGAACTTCAGCAAGATTAAATAGAATCAGATAATACAGGAACAACCTACATGGGGGAATCTGAGAACCAGCCTCAGAGGGTTCTAGCATTGTGGGGCTGGAGTCTGAAAGACCTGGATTCAAATGTCACTATTATCTGAGAATCTGAGTGTCTCACGTGTGTGTGTGCCTGTGCAATTGTCACGAGTAGGCATTGTTGTGATGAAGGTTAACAGTGTGTGGATCTCTGGCTCAGGTGTGATGTAGACACAGTGGGGACACACCTTTATGACGGCCACATCAAGCTGCAGCCTGGCAGCCAGCGCCTGCACTGTGTCCCAGTCTGGTCGCTTGGTCTCATTGAAGACGTCCCTCAGCACCCTCAGCTGTCCCTCACTGAACCTTGTGCGTTGCCGACGAGCATGGTGTGGTCTTTCTGCAGAGGGAACAGACATCACACTTCCACTGAAAATTTCCAAATGCCAACATCTTCCTGAACCTGATCTCAGAATCCACAACTTGGTCTAAAATGTCACCTCATGCACCCTGCTTGTTGCCATCCTGCTGGGAGTGATCAACGTCCCCAATGTCAGCACCATCCTGGACTCAGTGGGGTACTTGTAGAGCCAAAAGTGGGGAAAGCTGTTTCCTGTGACCTCGCTCTGTCACCCCTGGTGGAGGGACATCAACCTCTTCCTGACTCTGGCCATCACTTTGTCTTCCTAGTAACCCAGAAGCATCTTTCTGTCTCTCTGAAACTCAGCTTCCCCCACTGGAAAGTGACTCAAACCAGGTAACTATCCATTTATTCAGAAGAATGCACTAGAAATTCATAGGTGTGGAAAATGAGCCAGACTAGTGGGAGAAAAGTATCTGTCCTTGAATGTCCTCTGCTCACTGAACCAGACTCAAATGAGATCAACTCTCCATTCCCAGAATCAGTCCTGTGACAGGTGACTCCAACCCAGTGGGGAGGGCAGGGCAGGACAGGATGCACCCTTTACCACACCCCACCCACCCCAAAAACTTCTTACAGACTCAGAAGGTAAAGCAAAGAGAACTGAAAAGAAAAATGGAGGCAATGAACCGAACCCGGGCACATTGTATGAGTATGTGGAAAACTCACAGGAAACCTCCTGGCCTGGGACTGTGGACTAATAAAAATGTTTTTAAAAAACACAAGAAAACACAAGCCTTAGAGGGAGAAATCCACCTTTTCCACCACTAAGAAGAAATATCGAGTAGTTTTATCTATAATTTTTCATTTGTATACTGGCAGTTGCAGGTGGATTCATGTTGTTTTGTACTTTTTGTTTTTGTTCTTGTGGCCATTCTGTCTCTACTGTGCTTACTCAGCCCTGTTCTCTCTCATGTCCTTCTGGTTTCCCGACACCTCCACCCATGCGCTTTCCCTCTTTCATATTTTGCTTCCTCTCTCCTTTTTCCTTTCTTCAGCAAACCTTCTTTATACTTAATTATCTGTGTCTAATAATCTTCTAACTCCTGGTGTATCCTATAAGTATTCTAGTTCCTTTTCTTCCTTTCTAACCTTTCCAGGGGGGCAGCTGATGTTTTCAGGTGTTTTAAACTGCATTAAATATCTGATGTTTTTTCAGTTGTTGTTGTTTGTCCTGCCTGCTTTCTGTCCCTTGAGTGATAGTAGGAACTGTGACTCCAAGAGAAAACTCTCCACTAAGAAGTCACCAAGAAAAAAGGAAGCAAATAAATATATAAATGAATGAATAAAACAAAGAGATATCCATCCTAAGTGATGCACAAATCACATTGCCAAAATAAACTGCATACAAGACAGCATTACCCTGAATCCAAAATACAATAAGGATGTAGCAAAAAGTGAAAATGAAAGACCAATTCCCTTGATTGACATAGATGCAAAAATTCTTTATCATTTGGTGCCCGTGGCTCACACCTATAATCCTAGCTACTGAGGAAGCATACATCAAGCACACTGAGGTGTGAAACCAAATCAGGCAAAGAGTCCATAAGACCCTACCTCAATAAAACCCTTCACAAAAAGTGTCTGGTGGAGTGGCTCAAGGTGTAGGTCCTGAGTTCAAATCCCACAAAAGAAAAACTCTTAATAAAATACTTGCAAACCAAATTCATCAATACATTAAATAGATCATACACCAAGGTCAAGTTGGTTTCATTCCAGGCAGGCAAGGATGGTTCAACCAATGCAAATCAATAAACATAATACAGCACATAAATAGAAATAGGGACAAAAACCACATGAACACATCAGTAGTGGAAGAAAAAGCCTTTGACAATATTCAACATCTCTTCATGATAAAGCTTTGCAGAAAGTAGGAATAGAGCTGGTGGTGTGGCTCAAGTGGTAGACTGCTTGCCTAGCAAGCATGAGGCCCTGAGTTCAAACCCCTGTGTTGATCAAAAAAAGCCATGAAGGAACATACCTCAAAATAATAAAGAGTATATAGTTAGAGAAATTTATAGTCTAACCATATGGGGTGGAAAACTGAAAGCATTTCCCTTACAATCAGGTCTTCTCTCTCCACCAACATTCAATATAGTCCTTGAGCTCCTAGCCAGAGCAATGAGGAAGAGGAAAGAAATAAAAGAGATTCAAAAGGAGAAGAAAGAAGTCAAGCTATCCCTGTATACTGATAATGGGATTCTATCCTTAAAAGACCCTAAAAACTACAGCAGAAATATTTAAGACCTGATAAGTACTTTTAGCAAAGTAGCAGGTAACAAAATCAACATACAAAAATCAGGATCTTTTTATATGCCAACAGTGAACCAACTGAAAAAGAAATCATGAAATAATCCCATTCACAGTAGCCTCAAAAATAAATTATGTGCCTACAAATAAAGCAAATTAAGAAGAAAGACAACCACAATGAAAACCATAAAACACTGAGGCAAGATATGGAGCAGAAATTGAAAGACAGAAAGGTCTCCCATTAAATGGATCAGAACAATCAATATTGTAAAAATGGCTATATGCTGGCAGCAATAACAGATTCAAAGCAATCCCATCAAAATTCCAAAATTCTTTCCAGGTGCCTGTGGCTCACTGTAATCCTAGCTACTCAGGAGGCACAGGTCAGGAGGATCGAGGTTTGAAGCCAGCCTGAGCAAATACGGTTCTTGAGACTGTATCTTGAAAATACCCATCACAATTTAGGGCTGGTGGAGTGGCTCAAGGTTTAGGCCTTGTGCTCAAGCCCCAGTACTTCAAAAAAATGTTATTCTTCACAGAAATAAAAAAATCAACTCAAAAATTCATATAGAAGCATAACAGACCCTGAATCACTAAAGCAATTCTGAGCAACAATTCTTAGCAAAACCAACAGAGCTGGGTTTGGGGGCAGGGCTCAGTGCTACAGTACAGCCTGGAAAGCATAAGGCCCAGAATTCAAACCTCAGTAGAGTTAAAAAAAAAAAAAACAAAGTAAACTTAAGTAAGACATCTGGACAATAGAATTCATATGCAAACTTAAAAACACAAGCTATAGACTGAAACAATGTATTTGCAATAAATGTAAGAGATAATAGTGTCTAGATGACAAAATAATTCTACCATGCCTCAAAAAGAAAAAGCTTAAGAAAATGGAGGAGGATGCAAACATGAAAATTAGCACAGGAGCAAACAAAATGGCATTGAAGATAAAGAGGCTCGGTTGCACCTTAGGAAACAAACAGCGGGTTGGGGAGGATGCTTGGTGGTTCAGCGGTGCATAGCAGACCGGCGGGCCAGGATTCCATCCCAGCACCAAATAAACGGGATGGAGCGGGGATTATGTCACGCACCATTTACACCTCCCTATTGTTGAGATGGAAATGTTTGGATTGGCCTGGTGGCTCACACCTGTAATGCGAGCTAAATCGGAGAGCAAAGACCAAGGCGGCCAGGAAAAAAGATCCAGACCCTATCTAGAAAAAAAAAAAAAGGATGGGGTTCTACTCGCAGAGCACCTGCCACGCTCAAACCCCAGAAAAAATAGTTTGAGAGACGCCTGGGTGTGGCTCAGGGGTGAAGCCCTCGCCTAGCACGCACAAGATCCGGGTTCCAGGCCCAGCATTGATGGCGACACCGGATGCTATAACGAAGTGGGGAGCAGACACTCCTGTCTTGCTGGGGTCCAGCTGAAAACTGTTTTCAGATGCTCCCTGCTGGTGTCACCCAGTGATCCTCAAATTGTGCACTGGCCTTCACAAAACCCGGGACCTCCACGAGATTCCCACTTCTCCCCTTGCTTTGCCCACAACCTCTGCTGAGCCCCAGGGTCCCGCCTTTGCCTCAGCTTACCCGACATGAAGGCTCTGGACGGTGATGGTGGATGTTCAGCCAGGTGTGTGCTCCGACTGCAGAGCTGATGTGCCCACAGGATGAGGGCCCAGTTATTTAAAGACGGTTTTAGTGTCATCAAGCCCCTGCCCTACCCCTCCCTATTGTCACACCCTTCCTTAATCCATTCACTGTCTGTGTCCTGAGAACCTGAGCAGTGCGAGGAGCGGCATCCTGCCCAGACATCAGATGGGATTCAAGGCTGACTCCTGTCATCACAGAGACAGAAACCCAATGGCAGTCGTGCAAACAGAACATAGAGAAAATGTCCCAAACTTTCCCCAGCGACAAATGAGTGAGTACACAGCAAGGTGCTGACATGAAGAAGTTGGTAAGCTTGCTATGGGGGACGGGGGGTTTTGAACACGGGCTCCGGAGGACAGGGGACTCCTAGGAGACACCGAAGACACCCCAGGGGACTCTGAGGACCTTGGGGATGGAGACCTCACCCAGTGCTCCCAATGGAGATAGTGACAGATGTCACTGAGGACGTCAAGTCATAGAGCCCTCATGTAAGGGAGACTGGATTGGGCAGCCAGGAGCCCAGGGAGAGATGTGAGCCAAAGAGGTAACATTGCCATGCATTTAAAGGATCAAGCATCTCCAGCCTCTCTTTTCTCTTTCCATTCTCCCATGTTCTCCACCTTCCAGGAGCCATGTTTACTCATTCATTCATTCCTCTCCAGTGTTTTTCTCCATGGGAGGTGCTGTTTGTGACTTGGGTGTGATTTGAGAGGACTTAGGGGGCTGGTCCCTGTCCAAAAACCTGGGCTCTGCACGGCTGATGTGGACCTAGCTTCTCTGAGCTGGAGATGAGACTCTGGCCTTGGTCCATCTTATGTCCCACACTCCCCAGTCAACACCCGCACCCCAGTGTGCCTGTTTAGACAGGTCATGAGGAAACCAATGAACTCTTGTTCTGGATTCATTGTTAGGTAGCTCAAGCCCCCAAACCGTCAAAAGACCCACATATGTCTTTTCCAGGAAGAAATTTCAGGAAAACTAAAGCAGCCATAGGTAGAAAGTCCTTCCAAAGATGTATCTAAAAGGGGAAAGCTGCCCTCAGATTTTCTGCACCCATGTAGACTCAGTCCTTGGAGTCTTCCTGTGGCACTTGTGAGGAAGAAAAGAGGCTAATCTGTTGAAAGCCTTTTCCTGTCAGAGGTCCCCATGGGAGGCCACTGCTTCTGAGGGACATTCTGGGAGGAGAGTGGCCCAAAGCCAAACACAGGGGAAGGGTTTGGACTTGATCCAAGTGAAGCCATTCAAGGATCTCCAAGACCAAGAGCACTCAGCCCTTTTGCTTGTGAGGCACTTGAAAAGGAGAAACCCTGGCCTCAACCCAAGCAAACTAATGGGGTGCCAGGGTCTCACCTGAGTCCACTATTGTTGAGATGTTAGGTACCCAAGGCTACCATGTAAGCTTGTAGGCCATGTACAAAATGTATGACATGTTGTGATTCGGTTGACCCTATCTGGTGTGTTTTACCTACTCTTTACTGTAAGATGGCCCACATTAATTTTCACTTTCAGAAAATAATGGATTTCCATTTGACATTTTATTCTTTTCTTTTTTTTTTTTGGTGCTACTGGGATTTGAACTCAGGGCCTCATGCTTGGTAGGCAGGCAAGCTACTGCTTAGCCAATCTACCACCCCTCATTTTTTATATGTATATAATGTATGTCGGTCATATTTACCTCCTGTCACCTCCTGATGGTCCCCCCTTAGGAAAAGGTCCTCTGTGAACATCCGCATCTTCTTGTTTTGTAATTTAAGTGTAGATTCCACATGAGAAGACAACACAGGACATTTTTCTGTGTTATTTTGTTGAATGTGATGGGTTTTGGCTATGTTATGATTAACATTACTTTGTGAACTCAAGGACATTCTGGACTGCAAAAAAAGCTTTGTTTCAAAAAAAAAAAGAAAGAACAGAAAAGCTCAATTTCTTGTTTCCCAAGTAGCGCTATTTCCTTTGACCTCCATGTCAACCCTTTTCAAAAGAAACTTAACTAACTCATGTATCCAATACCCAGATTTAGAAACAGAATGATTCCAGCACCCAGAAATCCTTTTCAGTCTCTGCCCATGTGACAGTGACTACTTCATGACCTGCCATCCCAGATGGTAATGCCTGACTTTGAAGGTGATGTAAACGGATCCTATGGGATGTAGTCATTGGTGTCCTCGTCTTTCACTTACCTTTGTCTCATGAGGTCATCCATATTGCTTGCATGTAGAGCTCCCCTGTTCTCAGTGTTACTCTATGTGTTTATACTCACCGTTTTTTTCCTGTACTGCTGGGTATGGAATCCAGGGCCTCACTGAGCTATACACCCCTATCCCTGCACCACTTTTGTTGGGTTTTGATTTGGGTTTGGGGCTATCATAAATAGTGCTGCTATGAATCTGTGTGTCAGTGTATTTTGGTGAACACATGTAAGTGTGTGTCTATTGTCTTTTGCTTGTTTTTGGTGGAATTAGGGCTTGAACTCAGGGCTTCACGCTTGCAAAGCAGGTGGTTTACCATTTACCGCTTGAGCCACACCTTCAGAACTCTATTTTCCTTTTCTAGAGGTTCAGTTTGAACTCAAGTCCTTGCCCTTGCTAGGCAGGTGCTCTGCCACATGAGACACATCCCCGTTCTTGCATGTTTCAATTTCTGTGGGTGTTTTCCCAGGGTCGAGACTTGGGATTCCACCTTCCCCAAAGACTATATGTACAGGTTGAGCACCCTTCATCTCAAAATCTGAAATGCCTCCCAGTTTAAAATGTTTGAGCACCAACATGACACCACAAGTGGAAAATTCCACATCTGACCTCATGTGGCAGGTCAAGGTCAAGATGCCAGCAAATAAACATACTGTGTAAAATTACTATCAGGCTATGTGTCTAAGATACATGGGAAACAAATGAATTTTGAATTTTGTGTTTAAACGTGGATCTAACCTAAATACGCAAATATTCAAATGCAAATATACCAATATCCAAAGAAATGTGAAATCCAAACCACTTCCGGTTCCAAACATTTCAGAGTAGGGTTACACAGCCTGTGCTATTTCAACTTATTTTTTCTCAGGCCCTCTTTGAACCGCTCATTGTGGCTCTTATATCAAGGTTTCCCAGGTAGGGTTCTTTGTTTTCAGGAATTTTTTGTTGCTTTTTAGCAGAATATGGTGAAGATTTCTCAACTAATGTTCTCACATTTGATCATGAATGAGAATCACCTGGAGAGCTGGGAACTCTGAGTCATGGTCATTCTATTTTTAGCTCATTGAAGGTCCACCATGTTGTTTTCAGAAGCTGTGCAATTTTGCATCTCACCAGCCATGTACGAGAGGCATAATTTTCCCCATTCTCACTGACTCTTATTTCCTTTTTTTTTAATTATAGCCAGGTGCAGATGCCAGTTGCTCACATCTGTAGTCCTATTGCTTGGGAGCCTGAGATCAAGAGTATCATGGTTCCAGGCTCACCCTGACCAAAAAGTTCAAAAACCCCATTTTTACCAACATCTGGTGGTTCATACCTGTCATCCCAAACTCTTGGGAGGCTTAGACGGCAGTTACAAGACAGCTGAGGCCAAAAAGCTTGCAAGACTCCCACCTCAATGGAAAAATGCTGGTGTGGTCATGTGGTCCTGTATCCCAGCTCCTTTAGGAAGCATAAATAGGCTAGCCTGGGCAAAAAGCAAGACCCTATCTCCAAAATAAATAGAGTCATGCAGGAGAGTGCATGACTAGCAAGCATGGAGCCCTGAGTCCAAACCCCAGTACTGCCTACAAAGATATTTATAATATTAACCAAAACCAAAAGGGCTGACAGCATGGGTCCAGTGGAATGGTCCCTACCTAGGAAGGGGAGGTCCTGAGTTCAAGAATCTGCAACTCTGAAAAAGAAGAGTGGGCATTGTCCAGCAAGCAGAGCCCTGAGCTTAAACCCCAGCATCCCCCTCAAAAAATATATACATATAAAATAATCATGATGGAGGGAGTGATATCTCCTTGTGGTTCTATTTGCGTTTCCTTAATGACTCAGGACATTGAGCGTCTCTGTGTGCTTGCTAGTCATTAGTGAACCCTTTGGGGACATTTCTACAGAAGTCCTCTGCTCACATTTAAATTGTGGTTCACATCTTTTAATAGTTATATAAAGACCTATATTTATCAGCAGGAGTTTTTCTCTTTCTGTGGATTGCCTTTGTACTCTCTTTCATACACAATGTCTTTTTATTTTGATGAGATCCAATTTATGTGCTTTTTCCCTTGTTTCTTGTCTTTTTTTTTTTTGGCAGCTCTAGGGTTTGAATTCAGGGCCTAATGCTTGCTAGGCAGGTGCTGTACCGCTGAGGCACTCTGTCAGCTACCTTGTTTCTTGTGCTTTTGGTGCTATACTCAAGAAACCATCCCTGTATTCCAAATTCAAGATCATAAAGATTTTATCCTAAGACTTTTGTAGTTTCAGCTTTGCATTGAGGTCATCAATCCATATCAAGTTCATTGTTGCATATGGTTCGTAGGCAAGGGTCAAACTTTGTTCTTTTATGAAGTGTTGCTTTTATTTTGAAGATTTTGAACTCAGGGCCTTGTTCTTGCTAGGAAAATGCTGCACCACCTGAGGCCCTCCCCCAGCTCAATGGCTGCTCTTTTGCATGTGGCTATCCAGTTGTAGAACCTTTGTTCTATCCAGATGTAGAAACTTTGTTCTATCCAGATGTGGAACCTTTGTTAGAGAGACTTCCTTCACCATTGAAGGTCTTGGCACCCTTGTCAAATGGATTTACAGTAGATGCATCATTTACATAGATGATTTTACAATAGATACAAGTCTGTTGTTAGCCAGTACCACACTGTCTTGACTACTTTAGTTTTTTAATGTTATGAAACTATAAAGTGTTAGTTGTCCAGCTGTGTTCCTTTTTTGTTGTTTGTTTTTGCATTGTTTTGTTTTTCATGCCACTAGGGTT